CCTGCATGAGTTTTAGTAGCGTGTTGCGATGCACGGATATAGAAGATAAAAGTCAATTGTAACAATCTCATAATTGTTTGAACAACAGAAAAAAAGCTATGCACAGTAGAAATCCAAAACCCACGCGGACCATGCCGCTATGCCAAACCCCCAAATTACATAAATCCAAAACCCATCAACACCACGCTTCATATATACTCATGCCTTCAACCATGCATCATTCTTTACAGAGACAGCGCAACAGCCGCAAACAGCGCCACAACAAAGCTAATCGTCGCCCCGCTCTGCAGCTTCCCACCCGCACTATCGCCATGAATCCCCAGAATCTCCGCTTGCCTTGAGAAGGTCACGTTCTGCGGAATACTCTCATTCAAACACTGTCCATTAACGATATCCAGGCCCGCCAAATCATTCGGCTCACGGAAGAACATATAACTCCTGTTATTCAATCCCTTGAAGCCCTCGGTGTTGTACGGGAACCACATGTCGGAGTCGGTAGCAGACGTGTTGCGGAGGAAGATGCATTGAACCTGGTTGGGGTAGTCGTGGGCGAGTTCAGGATACGCCTTCATGACATCGCTGTTCGAAGTATCGGCGACGAGAACGAATTTGCGCGTGGGAAAAGTCTCAAACACTTTGGTAAGGAGGAATTTGCGGATGGACAGCGTGGCGGATATGTCAGAGAAGTTGAGGGGACGGGTGTCGAAGGAGCCGCCGGGGTAGGTTTTGTAGATAAAGTCCATGTACAGACGCGTGGCTTGCTCGGGTGTCGTGGTGAGGTAGTGGAAATGCGTGTTGTTGGGGAGGGTACGGGACCAGTTGGCATAGATATCCGGCATGTTCATCCAGGGGGTGAAGGGGCGGGCGAAGGAGTTTAGGAGACCTTCTTTGGGGTCGTAGATCTTGGTTACGCGCAGGATGTCATCGATGTCGGAGATGAAGGTTATGCCCTCGGAGGGGACGAGGAAGGCGGTGGCGTTGCCGCTGTTGGTGCCGTTGGTGTAGACGTTTAGGCGCTGGACGTTGTTGGTTTCGTTGCCGGGGATGAGGCCGTTGGACTGGATGGGGACGAAGACGTCGAAGTCGCCGAGTTCCGTGGTCTCGTAGGGGAGCGTGAGGTTCTGGACGCCGCCGGGGGCTTCGATGGAGTTGCCGCCGCCGGGCTCGCCGTCGCCGCCCTGCATGGGCGCGGGCTCGAGCGACATGGAGACATTGACGTCGCCTTGCTGGACGATGAAGATGGAGCGCGTCAGGTTGCGTGCCTGCTCCTTCTGGTTGTCGGGCAGCTCGGCGACGCTGGTGTCGATGAGGAAGACGTTGGCCAGGTCGTCGACCTTGTCCTGGCTGATATCCGGGAACTTGTACACATTGCCGTGGAAGCGCACGTTCCAGCCCTGGTCGGTCCAGTTGGCATAGGGAGGGATGTTGAGGACTTCGGTGGGCTTCGCAGCCAGGTCGTCGTCGCCGATGCCGAGGCTGGACAGGACTTCTTTGCCGGTGGGGAGGCCTTCGAACCAGCCGGGGATGCCTAGAGGAAAAGAGTCAGCACAAGCCTTACTAGTGCGAAGCTTGCCATGCAGGCGTTTGCTTACCCTCTGTGAAGAAGCTGGGCAGATCTGTTCCCAGCACGCTGCCTATCGAGGCTGCGTAGTTATCCACGCCGCTCTTGATGTCGTCGATGATGTTCCTCTTCTCCACGTAGCTGTGCCGCCCTACGAACCGGATCGCCGCGGGAGTCACAACAGGCGCGCGCACCTCGACCTTGGCGGGGACAGCTGTCGGCTCTGGCAGCGCGAATGCATTGGCGAGGCCGAGTGTCGCGCTCAGCAGGAGAGCCCGCTGGGATGCGCGTTGGTGCACCATCTTGGTGGTGTTGTTGTGGTGGCAGGGGCTAAAGACCAAGGGGCGCTCGCGTGATCGTCGCGTAGAGGGAAATTAAAGTCGAAGCGACAGACTAAAGGGAATACAAAGAAATGCAGAGGACTGAGGAGAAGAGAAGATGCGGACGGGCCGGGAAAGATGGCACGATGGCAATAGTGGAAACACGCTTGCCGCGTTTCGCACGGGCTAGACAGCAGGTTTGCGGTCAAATTGGTGGTGTTGGTCGCTGCAGGTACAGCCAGTATGATGTCATTCTGCATTGTGGCTGGGGGCCGAGCCACAATGCGTCGATCGCCTCCCGTGACCCACCACGCCACCCTTACCAAACTCTCCACACCGCAACACTCCTTCGGGACTCGGCAGTCGCAGATTGATGGCGAGACATGTCTGGTACTAACGAAGATTTTCATTGTTTTACATGCCGTTCGCAGAGACAACTCCTATGGTACGAACGCAGCGTGATACACCACTGCACTGACTCACGACTCCCCAACGACGACCCAAGGCCCCAATAGCGGCATATCCCTCAACGCATCCCCCATATGATGGTACCCCTTCCTCATGGGCCAACACATCTTTGAGTCACCCCGCAGCGTGTCCATCGGCCACCCACCGCGTCGCCGACAAGTATCCCATGCTTCCCTTAGCACGTCGTGCACCTTGTCGTTCGGAGCAATGTCCTTGATAATATGGAAAAGCGACCTCATGCACAATATAACCTGTTCTTGATCGCAATACCCCAGAGAGTTTGTATCCCAGTGTCCGGGGAGCGTGCTCGTCCAGCGTGTGCCAGATGGATGTCGCGTTTCTTCGCCGTACCACCCTATCATGTCTAGAGTGAAGTGCGGGAGTGTACTTTGGTAGGAGGTTAGGGGGGGTGCAACGCGGAGGTGTGCGACGGGGAGAGTGATGGTGGAGCAGATGGCTCTCTCGTCTCGTTGGGATATATGTGTCTTGGTATTGTGGAGGAAGTGCCTATGCACCTTGCGCACAAGATCGGATTGAGCTACCAGGTCTGCGCGCTCAGAGTCGCAGAGTATTGTGTTTGTGTTGTCTGGTACGGGGATGTTGTATAAGGCTGCGTTCAGCGAGTCGAAGTCCGCGTTGAAGGTTATTGCAACGATTTCGATGAGAAAGCGACGGACCTGTTCGGTCTTGCATTCGGGTGGTTGTGCTTGCGATGGACAGAGGTACTTGAGCTCGCTTTCAGCGATGTCCGTGTACTCAGGCGGCGGGCCTGAGGGTATGGTTTGGTGCTCTCCTTGCGGTATGTCTGATGGCGGAAGATAGGATATCTGGAAGCGACCTAGACGGCCTAGATCGAAAACCGGCATGATGGCGGTGTTGAGGTATGATCGAGGGAGGTTGGAGTGAGACTGAGGAGGTGGAAGAGGGATGTTGTGCGTCTGCCGGGAGTGCGCTGGTAGAACCAAGGTTCAGGGTCGCCTCGTTCAGCGAAGAGTGGGCCAGTACCAAACCCCGTTGTCAAGACGACATGGCCTCGCGAGGATGAAATTCTCTCGACCATCATGATGTTTGGAGACGACATGTTGAACGCGCGAAGCCGATACGAGTGGCCCAGGTCCAGTTGAGGTATACAACGCCTTCGTAGAAGGTGTTGCGGATAGCGTATTCTGGACGTCTTCGGCAAACCAGAAGTGAGGTGTAAGCTGTAACGAGCAGCGCTCTCGCAAACATCTCCAAGCGCAGCCTCGTCCAACAATGAATAAGAATACCCCCGTCCGCACCACTCCCTCTCATCACCAGGAGTGGCCCCAGGCCTAACCGCGGGGAGGTGGGGTTCAAGGCCCTTAAAATACTCCCTAGATAACAAAGCTAATAGCTAACCATAACAGAAGAAAGATATATTAGAAAGAAAAAGACGAACAAAGGAAAAGAAAAGCAACTACATATGCCAATATCCGCACTAAACATACTGATCAATAATACCATTCATCCGCCCCTCAAACGCCGCCAACTCCTCCCTCCTCTCTCTCCTCTCCCGCCTCTCCCACGGCATCTCATACCCCGCCCAACGGGCCCACCGGAGCAGCGCCATGGCCAAAACGGCCGTGATCATGTGTGCCACGAAGGCGTCGAAAACGCGCGTGGCGAAGGTGCAGGTGGACATGGTTAGGAGACAGCTAGACGTAGGTTTGTTAGTGAAAGTGATTTTTATAGGATAATAGAGTAGATAGAAAGAGTTACGTACCTAATCTCCTGTGTGTGGTAGCTGGAGAAGAGGAGAGATGGGACGGCGAGCGAGCGGGATTTGGTATGTTAGGGGTGGGGGACGAGGAGGTGCGACGGAGGAGGCTGCTAAGTTTATGGGGGGGTTATTGGTGCTTGATGTGTGGGTTGAGTCGAGGTGCGATTTCCTGTCTGGAAGCGGAAGCGGAGTTGCGTAGGGCTCTTACCTTGTGGTAGTTAGTAGACGACATGTACGCTAAAGTGTTGGAAGGAGCACCTAGTAAGTATCTTTGAGGTATACATCGCATGTGGCGGTAGTATACGTATATCTAGAGGTGTTGTTGATGTATACGTAGTCTTCTGTAATTCACGTCTGCTACTGTAAAACACTACGAATGCCTCCACGATATGGTGATGTATTCACAAGCTCGATCTTACTAACCGAGTTTTCTCTGAGAGATGGCATCTGCAGAGCGCTTGCCTTGTGATAGCCAGGAGGCGACATCAACCTCGGAATGTTGGCAAGCGCGTTCGCTGGGCACCTCTAACGTATACATTGAAGGCAGCAGAAGCATGTGAATTTCTAGCGATGTAGTTAAAGTATACATGATCTTATTTATCTTTAACGTGTCGCTGGAGAATGCCACGAAAAACTCTAGAGTAAATTATCGTGAGTAACAGTCATTGCACTTCACGTGGTATTATGTAGCAGCAACCCGCCAATAAGAGTATACCTAGGTATGTTGCGCTCATGTGACAGCCAGTATCTAAGAGGCTGAATGTCAAAGAACGCATTGTTTGTGTGTCTGCGATGAGCGCAAGATCCATACCATCTGAAGCGACCATCGCTTCGTATCTAACGCTCCCAAGTTACCATATCTTCTCTGCCCATTCCGTATCGCTAACCGCTTTTGGCCGTACTAGCTTCTTCATTGCTCCAGTAACTCGTGCAGGCGGTCACCAAGAACATCCAGAGCATGGAACCAGAATTCAGGGCCTATCTCCTCGATGTACGCATCCACCTTTGGCACTCGACGCTCCCCAAATCCCCAATTTACAGTCACGAGCCCGTCATCATCATCTTCTCCTCCACCCTCATCGTCCGCCTGTCCGTTGTCTTCTCCACTACTCTCGCCACCGACCTCTTCGCCGACATCCACCTTGCTCTCAACCATCTCAAGTTCCTGCTCCTTGATCATCGCGTCTTCCTCAACACCTCCCTCCTGTGTCTCGGTAAACCGGCTTCCGGCTAGCCTGTGATAGTCGAACGCGGGTGCCTCGTGCGGATCAGTATTGGTGACTCCAGCCCACTGCCGAGCGTCATTGATGGTTGCGAGAGTGGGGGCTTCGCCGTACTTGTGCTCTTCGGCTGCCATATGCTGGAAGTCGGCGATTTGCTGTCTCGTCATTGGCGTATATATGTCTCGAAAGGCAGATTGGGCTGCGGCTTTGTTTTCGGCGCTCAAATGGGTGAAAGCGGTGTTCATGCGCTGCTTCTTATCGCTGGCCTGCAGATCGATGATCTCGTTGGCGTTGCGTCGTCGCTTGAGATCCGGGCGGTCGGAACGATCGGTCTTCGTCGCATGGGATACTTTGTTGCTATCGATGTCCTTGACCTCATCCCATGAGGGTATCCCGAGGCCAAGTTGCTCCCAAACTTTAAATGCGGTGCGAGTGAGGTTGGTAGTTGTTAGCCCGTCTCGGTCGCCTTTCTCGGCAATCTCCGGGCTGATGGTATTGAAGTCGATGTCGCTTAAATGCACTCGATTGCCAGCCGCGTTGCGGTAAGTCGCGGAGTAGGTTACTGAGATGACTTCGTCGTCCTTGGAATTTGCCATCGCCATCCATTTTCCGTCGAAGCTCAACGGCTGACGTGTTTTGGCCTGTTCGTTATATTAGCGTCGTTGGTTAAGGAAGAGACATCGCTACTTACCATGGCCGTCTCTGGATTTGTTGTGCTGGAGAAGATTGGTGTTGCGCAAGCGAGCGATTGAAACGGTGGCCTGATGGTGATTGACGTGATATTATCAAGGTTCGATGGTAGCTCGAAAGGCTCGGTGACCGTCAATTTAGGTGACCTTCACTTTTTGACTATTGACGAGGTGACCGTCGATTGGGTGACCGTCGATTGATTGTTAGCTAATTGGTAGAGAAATCTAGGTGAGCGCAAATCGACCGAGCGTAAACCTGCTCACTTCTTATCTGTGAGTCCTGCATAGTCGCATAGAATGTGTGGAAGATGCAGAAAAACGTATAAGATTGACGCAAAGGATAACCAAGACGACGACATGATAAAGAAAGGTAAAAGAGAGCGTGGACAAGGAATACGCAACAATCCGATAATACTTCGACAGTGCCCGGAAACTCATCATCACATCAACCGATTACTCTACATACATGCTAAACCTCAATAAACCTCGCCATCCACGTCCGCGTAATCTGCTTCGCCTCATCCACCAACCCCATATCCAACAACAACTGCACAGTCCCCCGTGTCGCAGATTCAAGCGCACTGAAAATCCACGTATGCGTAAACGTCGCCGCCTCCCCAATAAACACAGTGTTGAATTCCGTCTGATAAAACGCCGGAAGATACAAATGCTGCTGCCCGAAAATCTGCATCGTGAAGGCACCGGCTTGATGCTCGTCTTGCTCCCAGCATTGACGCTCGTAGTTGCCAGTCCAGTTCTCTTCAATCACCTCCTCGCCATGCATTTCGGCAAACGCGCGTTTGATATACGCCATATGTTCGGCTTCGGGCATTGCGCAGGCGACGGTGGCTTCGTAGTCAGACAAGTAAGAGGCGAGCATTGTTCCTGGGCCGCTGGCGTTGACTTGCCAGCTCGGGTAGCAGATCTGGCCGAGATTAGGCTGGTAGAGGCGCGTGCACCCGCCTATGATGGGCTTGTCAAGATGTTCCCAGAAGCGCGTTTTGAATTGCACGGCTACTTTGCATGCGTTGGCGAAGAGGGTGCGGTCGATGGCGCGTTTTAGCAGACTCGAGTAGCGGGGCAGGGTCCAGAATTTCATGAGGTTGAGGGGCACGCTGTTGAGGATGTAGTCGAAGTTTTCGATCGAGTCGGGGGTGGAGTAGGGTTCTGAGCCTGTGGGCCTCCAGGATACGGATATGGTTTTGTTGTTTTCGTTCCAGTGGAGGCCGTTGATTTTGGCGCCGTATTGAACACGGTCTTTGACAAGGGGCTCGAAAGCTGCAGGCATTCTGGAAAGGCCGCCTTTTATCGTGACCCATTTGGAGGCGAGGAAGTAGACGGTTTCGTATTCCCACATGGGCCAGTAGATGTGAGATTGGCCGACTTCGTCGGTGGTGTTGAGATCGTATTTGAGCTTGTTGCGGAGGTAGGCTACCTCGGAGTAGTCGAACATGCCGTCGTCTTTGGCTTGCTTGTAGGCTTTGAAGATGTTGGTCGCGTACATCTTAACGCGCTCTGCGTCTAGGCCTTTGAACTCGTCGAGAGCGGCGTTGGCCTCTTCGACAGCAGTGGCGTTGCCATATGCGATAGTATTCTTGTATGCAGGGTCGGTCGCTATCTCAGTCTTGCTGGGAATTGTTCCATCGGGACGGCGGAAGGGACTGTCGGCTGGGGTGTTGGGAGACGATTGGATCCATTCGATAAACTTGACATGCAGCTCCTCCTTGTCAGCGTTGAGTTCGTTGAGAACATCGGCCAGTTGGAAGATCATGCGCTGGTCGTTGAAGGGGAAGGTCTCGTTGGTCTCAGAGTCTGTAATCTCGTACGGGAAACGCATGGGCCCCAGCTCGTGATATTGGCCTTCATCTGGAGAAGTGCCGTTGAGGTAGGCTGTGCGAATGCGACCACCAATACGCTGAGACGACTCGATGATCTTCCAGTTGTGAATACCAACAGAGTCCAGCATCAGCTACAAGGCGTTTCGTTAGCACCAAATTGGTGTCGTTATTGAAGCAATTACGTACTGAGGTTGCAAGCCCAGAGATACCTCCACCCAGAATACCAAAAGACTTATCCTTGGCCGATGCAACAAAAACCTCATCTGGCTGCTTTTGTTGCAAGTAAGCAACGCCATCAAACCAGTTGCTATCAGTCCCTGCAACATCCACGAACGAGTTCCTCTCCTGTCGGCGAGCATAGCGCTTAGCGACAACAAGCTCCTCGGACTTTCCGATGAGCTCTCCATCGAGAAAAGCATGAAGACAGCCCCCAGACATCTCAGCTGGAGTCAACCAAACGAATTTGCTCGGTCGCCTATTCTCATGTTCCTCATGGCGTCTCGCCAAAGGATGAGCGCCCACATGCGTCTGACCTATGCGTTGCTTCGCGGAAACGATGGAAGCAGCAGCATCGTCACAGGTCGCGTATGTGATCGTAAGCTCCCCATCAACATCTCCGTAATAGTCGACGACGATATTTTGTGCGCTTCCCGGAGTAGTGCTTTTAAGAGGAGCGAAGACGACCGATGGCTGGCTCACAGGTTTGGATTCCGAGAGCGAGGCAATGCTTGCCAGAAGCGGCAGTAACTTGGTGAAGGACGGCATGCCGGAGGCTGATAGAAGACGAAGCCGGTAATCAAGGACCTCATGCTATTGCTCTTCGACATGCCTGTTTATGAATCTTCAGAGGAATTCCTTGGCAATACCAAGCATCGTTGGTATCTACCTTGATGTCCATGATACCCACTGTTGAGTATTCATCAGTCATTGCGCGATCTTATCGTGCGCTGCCGCAGGCTTTTCTTCAGGTGTGAGCTCACCGAGAAGCCGCCGGTCCACCTCCGCGGTCAAGGTTGCTATATCATGTCAATATCCTTTCACAAAAGCCTCGATCGATGATATCTGCATGCTTCCAAAGGCCTCGAAAGATCTTGATCTTCCAATGTACAAACAGGATGTGTTCATGAGCAGCAGCTTATCGTCGGCATTCACCCACGTAACCCCAGGGTCTGGATGCTGGGCTTCGGCGCATCTAAACCGGATCAATGATTGGAGCGGGCATTATCCTGTAGTCTTGGCTGATGAATGTAGGCAAGTGGAGGCGATCAAATGGTCCGTCGACTGGGCGGTATCATGCCAAGAAGAGAAAAGGTAAGATGCCAAGTACGCCTGGGTACGATTGGGTAGTTGTTCCGCTCCGAACAGCGGGCAGGTCCACCCGACTACGTTGCACGGCTTTCATGCTGTGATATTCTGCTGTCATCGTTTGCCCTGCACCGAGAGCGTATGGCATAACATATCTAGATCCGTTGTTGGTGTACAATCCGAGCTGAAATCTCTGCCGTCCATCTGTGAAGATGTCGCACAGAGCAGTAGATGCTGCAGCAATTACCACCTCGTCTGGCTGCGTTCCCAGATATTCTCCGACTCGCTTCAGCCAAGTAATTCAATTACTCCACCCTCTGGAAACTGCCTCTCCTCCTACTCGACCCCTCAAGAACACCCATCTTCTCGTCATTACTACTCCGCCTTTCCCCTCTCTCAGCCTCTTCACTCTCCTGGAGGACCTGTTCATTCGAATCCGGTTCCACAACCTGCCCATGGTTACCGCCCACCGACTCCATGGTAAACGGACTAGCAGTCGGCGCATCCAGAACATTCAACTCTTCTTGCGTGAAGAAATTGGGCATCAAGAACGTCCGCATGGGGATGTACAAAAAGATGAAAACTGGGAAACCAATGGCAGCGATTGTCTGAGTAATCGCGAAGGTAGCACCGAAGCCGATGAGTTCGAGTCCGACGAAAGCCCAGATGACCCAGCGGCGCTTGATTTGCGCTAATGGGTCGGATCGTGATGTGAGATGCTTGTCTTTTGCGAGGAAGATGAGTTTTAGTGTGATGCCGTTTGCTTCTAGTGCCTGGATTCCCATGACGAAGAATAAGCCGGCTAATACAGCTTGTGGTATGAGGTGCAGTACGATGAGAAGAGGTCCAGTCATTGTACCCAGGGTGAGGAGGCCTTGAGCGAGGTTCGACACGCGCTGCTCTACTACGTGGTCGACAACGCGTTTGCCGTGACCTTTGTTGTCTTCGTCATCCGAATCGGCGACAGTGCGTGCAACGCAAAGCGATGTAGTATGGAACGGTGCCTGCGGGATGAGACCGTTCGGGAATGGTATGCCTAGTAGGCCCGCAACTCCAGTCGTGATGCCCAAGAGAAAGATATCCCAATGGAAGCCTGCCGGTTTGCGCAGCGGAAATTCCGTGCCCTGCGCGATTAGACTAGACACGTTGTGGTCGAACCAGAACAGAATGGTCAGAAGTACGGCAAACGGAATAGCCAGGAACACATCGCCGACACTTATATCCCAGAAGTGGATGAACCATCCGCGATCAGTAGTGGGAAAGAATGCCTTCGAAGTAGGTAGCTTGAGCAACTCAATGCCAGCCATCTTTCCGATGTGCACGAAACCAGTGAAGAAGATCACGGTAAGCGGTGTACCGTAGTCCTCGACGAACTTCCGAACGTGACGCTGGAGAAGCGACGACTGTCCTACAATGCCGCAGATGTATGCGACCGCAGTGACCAGCAACGCAATCACAATCGAAAGGTATGCCGACGCGTCGCTGACAGCCCATTGCCTCGTCAAAACCTGTATCCCCTTTTGTAGATATATGAATGCGACGTAAAACCCGAATATGTCGCAAGAGAACCGCGTAACGTATCGTAGGCCGTTGCAGGAGTTCGTGATTGCGAGAATCCAGTGGAAGATCAGGGACCATATGCCAATCCAGCACATGAAGGCGAAGTAGTTGGTGCCCCGTGGGGTGATGATGTCGTATACGGTGTAGTTGAAGACAGTAATTGGGCCGGTGACGCCCACGATGACTAGAGGTTGCGCTGCTGCGAGGGAGAAAACGACCGAAGCCAGCACTGAGGCAAGAAGAACCTCGTTAACGCCGAAGCTCTCGTTGGTCTTCTCGAACATGTCGAGCGAGAAGGCGAG